TATATACTATGTGAGTTGAAATACTGTATGCCTCACAAGTAAATTTCAAATGACATATGAGAATTCTCTCATTTATTAAAAGTTTTCCATTGTTATCAGATATGCTACATACACTTAACACCTGACTAAGAGTACCATTTGGCCAATCTCAGAGGGACATCATGGGGATAAATACAGAAATACCTGGTTTTACAGGCAGTCTTCTCAGGAATTTGTAGGATTTTTTTAGTTTTTTCCAGTCACAGAAAATACTAAAAAATATTTCACATCAACTTGGAACTTCCTTTAATTCATATACTCGTACTACATATTGGCATTCTATGTTCTAAAACAGTTCCCTCTTTAAAACTGTCACAGCTGCTACTAAAAAACTTTCATTCCCACTTTCCCCAAACCCGCTGCGCTTCAGGAAGAGGATGATATCCTAATACTCGATAAAGGCTATAACCTTTCTATTAACTAATGTGCTATGAATTCCACCATAGTATCATAGAATTTCATTTAACTGCTTGCCTAATTGATTTGATGCTTTTTATTGCTGCTTCTGCAGCCACTAAGACTACTAACACTTAAACCTCTAAGATCCTTGAGAATCTGACATACTTCAGCCTGAGTTCTTTGATTCATTTAATATTCAACTAAAGAAATCACTTAGCTTGTTGTTTAAGGGTTCTTAAGTATTTTACACAATTAACTGATTTGTGCATGTTTCCACATATGAGTGCCTCTCAGTATGTAAATAGTGCTAGCAGTTTCTGAAAAAATTAAGAATACTGCAACTTTAAAAAATAATATACAGATTTGAATTTGTTACACACCTTTGGAGCCCATTATCTGAGCAATCTCACACTGAAACATTAATCCCAATCAAACCATAACTTACACCGTATATAGGATAAAAAGAATATTACACAGGGGGAGGCTCATACTCAGCTGCTATCTGTTCTCTGTACCTTTTTGTCTAGACAAGGCTAGCACACGATCCCTTCCTTGTAAATGATCTGGTAGATATGCTGAAGGCAGTTGATATTTTGCCACAAAGCTTTTAAAATCAACTGTGTTTGCTTCCTTTCATAAACACATCAATTTATATCACAAAATGCTTATCTGCAATGAAATCACTCAACAGAAATTCTACACAGAAGAGAGAGTGGGTGTTGTTTTAAACAATCAGTAATATTCATGTTAATCATCTCCCCGTGTGTAATAATCTCGGAAGAAGAAGAATGGAAATCCAGCCCTGGGGTTTCTTACCTTAAATCTAAGCAACCACTTAATGCATAAATGGAGCAAATAAAAGAGGTAAGGAAAAAAAGCATTGAAAGGTTAGTTGGAACTTCAGGATATGAAGAGAAAGGAAAAAGAAAGAAAAAAGTTAAGCATTCAGCATTAACAAAATAATGTATCAGTAGATCATAGAAAGAGTGGTTAAAGCAGAATGTCATGAACAAAAGATCTTCAAGCTGAAACTTTTAATATACATTGACCACAAAGTCTTTAGATTAATACTTTGAAATTAATGTTCAAATGCTTGTACACTGTTTATTCAAGTTCTTACAGTGCTAACAAAAAGGCAGCTTCTTTCAAATGGATCAAGAGATCTAGATGGATTAACTTCAGAGATTAATTTATTTGAGCTGTCAAAGAATAGCCTTATCAATGAGCCTGAGCTCACTTAAATTGTTTACATGCATTAGCACATATACAACTAGCTGAAACAGAAGCCTCTAAAATATTAAGCTAATGTATGTTCCTTCCGAGACAAAGCTGTCAGTTAACTCGATGCCATGAGGTTTCTCTTGAACAAAGATCAAGAGCAAATCATTACATCTCGTAAGAAGTACAGCACTCTGTATGGATACTGCACCATATATCCACATTTCCTAAAGCATAGATTAAGAGTTTAACCAACAATAAAATCTTATTTTAAAGCCTAAGTGCTTGCTTTTTGACACTGAGCCCTGTATCTTACTGGTAAAATACCATATATCTGCTTTCCCCATAATTTCTTTTAAAACTACGAGTCTTTCCATTTGAATGATCTGTTTTCAGCTCAGTTAATCTAAATGTATCATTATGTTTCTTACGCTTTCTATAACAACATTAGGCATTCAGAATCGCAATAGTAGAGCATCCAGAGTAGCTAATCTGTTTCAAAAAGAGACCCTACTGTATTAAAAAAGAAACATAATCTGATTTACTAGAAAATCTGTCTTTGAGTTTAAAGTTCCATGGATCAATGCATTAACCAATATGGTCTGTGCTGCCCAGAACTATGCTGGAAAAGCAGGTTCCCCTGTAGTGGTCAGAGTGGTCAGTGACATGGGAAGGTCCATGAGCAGGGACCTCGGCACCATTCCTGACAGTTACAATGCCTTAATACGCACCACTCCAAATGGATCACTTCTTTTTTCATCCTCTTGACTAAAGAACTCTTTGGAAGGAAGAAGACTGGAAGACTTTGTAACTCATGAAACATATGAAAAAAACCTGAAAGCAAGTCTCCTTCATACAAAAGGTTATTTAGATTTTTGCAGCATTGTAGCTTCAGGGAGGGAAGACGAGGAGGGACTGCTGGGATGATACAGAGGCACTTGAATTCTCTCTCACACCTATTAAGAAACCATACTGTAGAGCACCCTCTCCTGAATACGGTATCCACTGCTGCTTTGAACTTCTGAATGGAAGGAATAAGATGCTCAAGTGCCTATACTAATTCTCTCAGCATGGCATCTTGAATTTCTTGGCCAAGGATACTCCCTTTTTCTCCTGTATTATTCTCTGTTCAGTTTGCCATCTTTCTCAGGGGTTGCAATGAATACCTGCTGCATTAGCATTCTGACTCCTGAAAATACATAATTCTGGGTCTAAGGACTAGAGGGGAAGCCCTACAGCAGAAAAAGAACAAAAAATGCAGACTGAGGCACCCTGATGTTAACTGGAACTTTAATGCTATTTATGCAACAACTCCATCTGAATGCTCATTTGAAGGGAAAAGTATCTCATCTCAAACAATAAATAGCTATAAATAGGTGAATTTAAAGTTTCTACCTATTTTCCTTTTTTTCTCTCTGTTCTACAGCCAAGAGATCTAGTCAACTAATCTGCAGTTACTCAAGCAGAACAAAACCAACAGGTTCATAAGCACAACTGGCCACTTTTTCCCCATCAGCAGAGAGTTGTTCTTTCTTCTGTCCTAAACACAGGATTAACCTGATTGGAACACATTTATGATATTAAGAATAGCATGATTTCAAGTTCTCTGCTTATTGTTTCACAAGTACACAGTACTTCTTCATTTTCTAGATAAATACAGTGCATTGTAGACATAATTTGTAAGATGTTTCAAGTATATCACAAGCATAACAAATGCATGTAAACACACATTTGAGTCATCATCCATTTGATGAACTATGTTCCTTCAGAAGAACATAATTCATTGCATCACAGTAAGTATGACTCTGGCTACACTGAGGTAAGTGGGATATCAATTATAATGATTTAGAGCCAGTGCTAAATAAGATTGTGCTGCAGAGCAATTAAAAACTATTCTTTAATGAGTTCTAAAATTATCTCCTTAAAGCAAAAAGTGATTATTAAAATATTAGCAACAGCAATCCTACAGGTTAATATGCTCCATCCATAACCAGAAGGAGTTCTGCTGACCTGCATAAATTCAAAACTTGTAAGAATTGGTAGCACATTTTAACACAAGAGTGATAACAATTTCCTGATCAAACTATAGTTATTAATGTTGGATTTTTTTTGTTTGGTTTGGTTTTCCAAATCAAGCTTAGTCACTTGTCTTTTTTAAATCTGTTTAGAGGTTGACTCTTTGGGTAAGAAATGGGAGTAAGGAGACTTTCTGTTAACAAACAGGACGTTGAGAAGACCTTACATAAAATTGCTCAGGGAAGATATTTAAATCAAACTGCTAAGAATTTGAATTTTAAGACTTAGGCTAAACAACCTATTGTCATTTAAATGGCTGTTCAAGCAAACAATCAAAATAGAACAACACAGATAACCTAATGCAGTTAGGAGTCAGGCAAAAGAAATTCTGGTGTACTTTGACTGGAAGAAGCATCTTACCTTACTGCTACTTAGCAGGTTTACAGATTTGTTAGTTTGTCATGTAAAAATGACCCCACTTTGTGCTATTTACCTTTCATTTCCTGGAACTTTAACACTGTCAGTGTTCTCATTTCCGTATTTGTTTTCCTGGCAGCACAAGTTAACAATGAGCTCACACCTGCTAAGACTGTGTTTACATTCAGGATGTGCTTTTAAAAATGCGTATCTAATCTCACACATGATATTACTGCTGCTGTGTACATTGATCTAACAGCCACCAGTTGTGTCTCAGTCTGATCTCTGCCCTGAAATTCCTTCTTTTTTCCTACTCTTAAAAGGGAGAACCAGCTGGCTTCGAACTTGGCAGTCATATTCCCATCCTGAAACCCCATGTGGCACAAAAGTTGTAGAGAGCTCACTTTAACAAAGCACATCACTGGCTTTGTGTATAACTGACTCTGACAGAAAGAAGAAAAGGGAGCACATAATACCTCTCATGCAACCCTTTCTTTGGGTGAGCTTTAAAGTAAACCGGTGGCAATTACAGCTGGATGGTATTTTGTAGTGCTGATTCAGGCACTAAAGTGACAGTCATTAGCCTTTCAGTCCCCAGGTATATCCCTGGCAACTTACTCAAACAATAACAGCAGCATCACAAGTTGGTATTCAGAAACATTTTAAAAGGTGAGACTCACAGTCCCAAGTATCCTCAGAAATAAGATTCAGTGGGTTTGTAAGGTTAAGAAACAGTGGGGCAACAGAAGGGGAAGGGGCAACTGGAAATTGGACAGGACTCCTCTTATGTTTATAGACACACTGTCCAGGTAAGGAGAAACTGGTATAATATCATAAAAAGCATCAGATTATTCTGAAAATATACAAAGACAATGTATTTGCAGTTTGGCTGTTTTAACAATATCACCTACCTTCACTCCATGTCCAATATCATCTAGAATTGTATAATCAATAGGTTTCCTGATGTAGCGAACTGGTCGCTCCAAGTTAGCTGGTGCAATGATTTTGTGAGTTCTTGAGGTGTTTTTGTTTGTAGTCAAGATACCAATTTCTCTTCTAGCAACTTTCTCTTTGTGAATGTCCACCGTCTACAAAAGACGCAGTGTATTTACTAACAGTGGTATGCATTGGAATACAGAGTCAGTAGTAAAAAAAATTAAATCAGTTCTAATGTTTTGAAGATCTCTGCACTGTGCTAAACATACACTACATATACTTGATTACATCACCTTTCTTCCATTTACTGTTGAATTTGACACCTCTAAAGCCACACTAGTAGGTTCTTTGGGTTTTCTGTTACCCTCTGTATTCTTCACGGTTTCACAAAATTCCTTCTCCTTTCCATTCTTAGTAGTTCTCAACAATTTACTAACACCATTTTATGAGATTCTTTCACTTATCCTTTTTTATTTTACAATTGCTCTCTAAGTTTGTCTTTGAAATAGGCTCCAGCTACATGAAGTGTAAGGATACCTTCCCAAACCTTAATTTTATGACCTGAAAAGCAAACCATAAGCAGGTTTTCTTACACTGTAAAAGTTTGCTGAACTAGGACTGGTAATCATGACAGAATAAAGTTTCACTCAGACAAATTGAAAGAAAAGTATTTTAAACATTACAAGTCACTCATCACGAAGCAATGATTAGATTTTAGAAGGTGCTGCATACTAATTTATCCAAAATAAAGCCAGAGATTTAAGCCCAGTGCCTTCACTTCGAACGCCCAAGGTCAACACTGAAAATCTTTCCTTTTACATATTAAAATCAGTACCACAAGAGAATCTTTGGTATAAGACAAAGCTTTGCTGAAAACCTATTGCCTAAAAATACGTATTTATATCTTATTAGGTAACAAGGCTAAGAAAATGTCACCAAAAGGCCTATCTTCCCCTTCCAGGAAAATACTATCTCTCAAATCATGGTGCATGGAGTTGCTTGCCTCATTTAAAACCAAAATAATTCCCTGTTCACAGAACAGCTTTCCTTATAGGAAATTTGCCAGAACTGTGAACAAACTATTTTAGCTAGAGGATAAAAAGTAAAAGTAAGAAAACATCCAGAATAACTAGCATTAGGATTTCTAAACGCTCATAGGATTTCTTGTTGCCACTTCAGTGATGATGACTTTTCACAGTTTGGAGACAGGCTCTGCAGTAACTGAGGAATGGGTACAAATGAGAACTCATTTTCATAACACACATTTTTTTTCCATTTTATTTTTCTGTGGACAAGGATTGGGGCAGTGGTGTTGGTTATGCTGTTTTACCCTTTTGTGCTACTGATAACAAGACAAACAAAATGGAACTGTGTTACCTTGTGCAATCATCACAATCTTTAAAATTACAAAAAATTTTCAAAAAATCAAAAAACACAAACAAACAAAAAAACCCCCAAACTACTTCCAAGAAGTTGTTTCTTAACATTATTTCCAGAGAAGGATTTCCACAAATACCAGGGGCATTATATGGAAGTTTACATTACAATCATCAAGATTACCTAGTATTTCCCAGCAAAGTATTTTCAAGATTTTGCAACTTTGCTAAAGTTAAGTATTGAATACAACTTAGTTAGGTACATTTCTACCACCTCTAATTCCACCTGCCTAGAACAGTAAGGTTTCCACTAAAGGTGCACAGATATTTCTTAAAATAAAGCTACAGAAAAACAAGATTATTCGAGGTCAAAATATGCTGGTGAACCTCTCTTTGGAAAGCTAGTTTGTTAAGCAATGATTTGAAATTTAATAGGGGTATTTAAACTGTCTGGGACGCCCTCACAAAAACCCCCAATATACAAACTCTGCAGAAAGTCACGAATCATACAAGCTTAACAGAAACGCATATGTTTCTGCAACTACTTAGCAACTAAACCACTTTCAGTCAATTTGCCAAAGTCCTTTCCTGATATGACCAGGTCCATATACCATCCCCCAACACAACAGTGCAGATCAGATCTTCACAGCTCTTATGGCACTACTGATGGTACAAGCACCAGTGCAAACAGAGCACCATCAACATTTTCCAGAGCACCAGAAGTGCACCACTCTGCAAGTGGGTAAGATGTACTATTTTATCTTCCATCACAAGATTTTATCCATTCTCTGTGCCAGACCTTTGATTTTGCAGCATAGTAGAAGGAGGTGTTCTGGAAGAGATGGTCTACAGACTTCTGACCTCATCTGCTGAGGAGTCAGAGGGCATATACTTTCTTGATAAGCTAAAGATATGTGATTGCAACAACCTGGGAGGAGAGTCTCATGTCTGATACCACTGAAGAATTCAACCTCTACTTCAGACTTCAGCTGTGATCTAGAATTGTCACTAGAGAACTGCAGAGACATGACACTGACTCTTTTATGTTCTTTGTCTCACAGCCCCTGGTACCCTTTGCTAGAATGCTACAGAACTTCAGTTGCAACAGCAGCTGCATTTCAAATGCACTGGAACATCAAAATCCTATGGCTCTGAATCTGGTCATTCAAAAATCAGTTTATGCCTTGGATACTGCACTCAGGACCTTAATTTCAATCCACAAATCAGAAAGAAAGTAATTAGTGCAGGGTTGTTAAGATGCAACTTTTAATATGTTCTCTCAGTATTTTCTCATGCAGTTATCTATTAGTACAATGTGAGTACCGGTATTTAGTGCACATGTTATTGTAGTGATGGTATCTTGGCACTCTGGAGGCTTGTTTCCATGAATGAAAAGCGTGTTTACTCAATAGGAGCTGCGAGTACAACCAGTTTTCTTAATGACTATGGTGATAAGTGAGACATAACTACAGTAACAAACTATGAAATGCATAAAGCCTAATTAAAACCTGAAGTTCATCCAATGGGATTTCTCTTGCATTATGATTCAGAACATCTCTTTTAACCTGAACAGCTAGGGAATGACTAAGAGTATAAAAACTGCATTTAATTCTGGTCCATACATCTAAAAGTTGTATTGAAAAGCATTTTGCTGGCAGTTTTTCAAAAATTTCATTTTCTTGTTTAGAACTGCTGAAGACATGAGATCTTAATGCATCTATAAAACAGCAGACAGGAACACTGAAGTATTCGATTAGTAGCAGAAGTAACAAAGATTAACCTGCTGCTGAAGGAAATGAAAACATTTATCCTCAACACACAGGTAATTATTACCTCCAGTAGTAGCATAAATCCCTTAAGTGAGACAGAAGAATATTAGTAGAAAGTTTATTCAGCAGTTTAGAAAGTTCTATTGAGAAGTTTTCGGGGTTAGAGCTGGACTAACAAAACATCTGGTTTGGAAAGGCTGTTAGGAAAAGGAGATGAGATACACAGTCCCTTCTATAACTTCAAACCCTGTTTTCTAACATGAAATTTTGGACTCCTGACAGCACTATTCTGTTTTTTAAAATTTTTTTTCACATAGCTGCATTAGCTTTGGTAAAAGTTTTTAAATGACAGCTTGTTAGGGATTAGGCTCATTACTATCATCTTTTCATATGCTTTCCAAGATCCCTGCAATAAGAGAAGGGACAGCTTAAGGGGAAAAATAAGTATGAACCACTGCATTCTTTTTCTATTAGGAATTTTCTGGCCATTTTGAAACATCATGTTTCCATACTGAATTAAATAAAAACAGTCTCAAGATCTGTAAATATTAAAACAGTAAAAGCATTAAATAATTTCTGGGATTTTCCATAAAATTAACACTATTTACAATTTAACTTAAAAGTCACTGAATTCATGAGTTTTGAGAAATACTCTCTTCTACTGGTAAGTGAAATTTCTCAAAGTGTTAAGTTAGTTCTTGTGCTAGTTTTGGCTGGGACAGAGTTCATTTTCTTCACAGTATGAGGTTATGTTTTGGATTTGTGCAGGAAAACAGTGTGAATAACACAGGGATGTTTTAGTTACATCTGAGCAGAGGTTATTCAGAGTCAAGGCCTTTTCTGTTCCCCATCCCACCCCACCACTGAGTAGGCTGGGGGTGCACAAGAAGCTGGGAAGGGACACAGCCAGGACAGCAGGCCCAGCTGACCCAAGGGATACCCCAAGGATGTGGTGTCAGGGTCAGCAGCACAAAGCAGGGGAGGCCACCTGGGGGGCTGTTGCCTGGGGACTGGCTGGGCATCAGTCAGTTGTGGTGAGCAATTGTTTTCATTTGCATCATTTCTTCTTGGGTTTCATATCTCTCCGTTATCTTCCTTTTCACTACAATTTATTATCATTATTATCATATTTCAATTATTAAACTGTTTTTATCTCAAGTTTTCTCACTTTAACCCTTCTGATTTTCTATCCATAGCCTGGCAGGAGGGAGTGAGTGAGCAGCCATGTGGTGCTTAGTTGGCAGCTGGGGTCAAACTACAACAGCACTTTGAAAGTCTGAACTGCAGTGAAATTTCAGAAATAAAAGTCTCCAGAAGCCCTCATTTCTTCCTCTTCTCAAAACATTCTAACTTAAATTTATCAATTTATTGTCGGTCTGTTAGTCTGGGCTTTTAAAATTCAGTTTAAAAAAAATCTTAGAAGAAAAACGTTGCTTAAATATAGTGTTGCTGGACTTTTATTTTTTATTAATCTTATTTGATGCACTCACATTGCTATTTTTTAAAAGTTTCGCTATTCTTGTACCTTGCAAGAATAAGACAACTGAAGAAGGTTACAAGCCTTTACTGACTTATCAACGGAAAGTCCAAGTGAACTTTCCTACATTGACCAAGCAGTTTGCACACATTGCTCCAGCCCAGCTCAGCAACACATGCTGACTGCAGAGAAGTCCAAGTCCGTAGTCTATTCAATACCTATTCTCACAGCCAGTATCATGGGAGTCAAATTGTGTAAGGTGGATGTAGCAGATTTCTCCACCACGCAGTGCCATTGGAGATAACTCATCACTACCACTCATCTTTGTGACAACATGCTTGTTTATATAATTAGAAGAGGTTTTAAAATTACCTTGCTAATTAGATTCTGTAACTAAACCTGAAAACATTTCTCAATATACAAATATTAAAACCTGAAAATCTGCCAGATTAATTTAAAGAATTTGGACATTAGCAACATTTCACAGTGTCTGTTAACTTAAAAGCTGTAACATAATTTTTTAAACAAGTATAAATATTTATACATATGATCTGTACTCAGGATTTAAATTCTTAGTCAAATACAAAACACTGTATATCATCTACTTCTGGACAAGGTTCAAGGCAGCAAATAAGAACAGATTCATCAGCTTTCAGACCAAACCAAAGTAATTAGGGAGGCCCTGTAGAGAGACCTCGACAAATTAGAGGACTGGGTAGTCACCAGCCATATGAAGTTCAACAAGGAGAAGTGCCGGATTCTGCACCTGAGATGGGGCAAACCTGGATGTACAGAGAGACTGGGGAATGAGAGGCTGGAAAGCAGTGCCAGGGAAAGGCACCTGGGGGTCCTGGTTGATGGCAGATTGAATCTGGCAGCCAGGAGGGCCAACCGTGTCCTGTGAGGCATCAGCCAGTTGACAGAGAGGATTGTCCCGCTCTGCTGGGACAGCCTCACCTTGAATATCGTGGCAGTTTTGGGCACCACAATATAAGAAAGATATTAAGCTGTTAGACAGTGTCCAAAGGAGGGCAACAGAGATGGGGAAAGGCCTTGAGGGGAAGCCGTATAAGGAACGGCTGAGGTCATTTTGTCTGCTCAGCCTGGAGCAGACAAGACTGAGGGGACACCTCATTGCAGTTACAACTTCCTTGTGAGGGGAAGAGAGGGGCAGGTACTGATCTCTCCTCTGGGGAGACCAGTGACAGGACCCAAGGCAGTGGTCTGCAATTGCATCAGGGGAGGTTTAGGTCAGGTATTAGGAAAAGGTTCTTCCCCCAGAGGGTGGCTGGGCACTGGAACAGGCTCCCCAGGGCAGTGGTCACAGCACCAAACTTGACAGATGTCAAGTGTGGCACATGGTGTGACTCTTGGGGATGGTTACTGTGCAGGGCCAGGAGTTTGAACTCAATGGTCCTTGTGGGTCCCTTTCAACTCAACATATTCTGTGACTCTGTGAATTGTAATTTTTAAACCAATAGGATTTAATCACTTGCATAAAAATAGTTTCAATAGTAATAATTTCCTTATTCAGGATCTATATATAATCTGAAAACTCACAAATGATTATCAGCTTCCTTTTCAGCTCTTTGATTATGTTGGCATTTGAAGTGATATAAATTGGCGTTATATCAATGAACAGAGAACCAGAATATTTTATTTTATCAAGCTGATCATGCCTCTTCTGGTTTGAGCTACACTTGAAAAAAAACCAAGCACTTTTTCTTACTAAGTGCCAAATTATTTTGCTCTCTTCTTTGGAGAATATGTGGAATTCCAAATCAGAATTAAAAGCAAGATTATACACTGAGATATCATAATTTCCATATAGTGTTTTCTAAACTTAAATACCAAGATTTACTGACCAAAGCAATAATGCAATAATACGCTGTGGGCAGATGGTCATTACCAAATTGTTTTCTGTTCTATGTTACTGACATAATTTCAAGTCAAACTGACTGAAATCATAATTTGGCAATGAGGTATTATACCACAAGGCATTTTAAGTTGTATTAGAAAAAGTCCACTAAACTTTACACCCAACATAAAAAAGACCAAGGAAGTCTTCTGCAGGTTAGGCTAATTTCAGGAGAAGTGTAATCAAATTTCTTCAAAATAAATTATTTATTTACACAGACATTGTGCAAAAAATTTATTAATTTTTAAAAGAAAAATAACTATTGAAATGACAACAGATAACATAATCATGTACAACACTGGTATCATAGGATGAAGCCATTTCTGAACACATTAATTCAACTTAATTAAGTTACTTGGATCAACACACTTCATGTATGTAATATCCAAAATTCAAATACTGTCTGCTCCTCTGACATAATTTCTTCCATGAAGATTTGGGGAGGATCCAAGATGATGCAGGCTCAAAAAACATAAAATACCAAAAAAACTCCAAACTAAATTTTCAATTTTATAGCAATATTTAAAAAACAAACAAACAAAAAAACCACCACAGTTTTTTTTCAGTTGTTCAAGCACAACCTATGAAATTTGGCAGATACATCTTCATTAGGTGTTGGGTACTGCCTAATTTAGTGCTCCATTTTAAATAACTAGCCATTTTGTATAAATGTCAGAGACAATCTAACCTGGCATTTCAATCTGCATAAATATCAGCTTCTCAGGAGGAAAAAACTTAAAATACTATGGCTCTTTGCACAAAAGCTACTTTACAGATCCTGTGTGACAAAATGGATTTTCCACATTTATAAAAATGCAAAATTCAGTGAACTTGGGATATTTTTATTCATATACTGTCTTTTGCATCAGGCTCTCAAACAGTTGAAATACGTGTCAGCTGGCACCTGACTGTGAAGAAGCGCACACACACACACATACACAGTGTACATATATATCTATTTATGATATATATATGTATATGTGCATTTATATATATATTATATATTACTATATAATCTTATTTAGCACATAGACATACACAGAGTAATTTGTGACATTTTCTGGGGGGAAAAGTTGATTTACTTGTCCATGGACTAAGAAGAAGAGAAGAAATCACACTTTGCAGCTTATTTTTGATGTGGTTACATGAGACAACTGAGGCAATCTAATAGCATACTACTAACAAAAGGAAAAATCCTCCCCATCCATTTGTACCTGCTCTGGAATCAGATCCAGTCAGAGTCAATCCAGTCCATTAAGCCAGCATAAAATTATTCACTTCTTTCGCTGTTTCAAACCTGTACTAGCTTAGCAACCCTTTCAGCACCAGCAAGTCAACAGATCATTCCATCTACTCATCTCCTACCTTGCATGCCTCCTACTTTCAGAAGTTTTTCTATACGCCACAATATCCTTTATCAATTTATACTGTCACAAGGAGATCAAGAAACCCTTAGCAGCCAAAATGTATTGGTCAACTAAGACACAAAATATTCAGTAAACAGGAAGTGCTGTTAATTTCTCTTCTAATCCGTCATTGGTTGATAAACATCCACTTCATCATTCATTCTCAGTCCATCCTGGGAGTCAAAATTCTATCATCAATGTGGTAAATGGAACATGGGTTCCTAGTTAGAGTAGCTTAGTTTATTGTGGCTCAGGAAAACTGCAAACAGTGGCAGGAGTTCTGCAGCCATAAACAAATTGAAATATTAATTTTGCCTTTTGTTCATGTCACCACAAAGTACATTTTATTAAGAAAAGCTAGGAGCAAACTATTTTTGTCATCTATGCTTTTGTCATTAGATGCCAGTATTACAGCAACAGGAAAAGTAAAAAGATGACAAATAACTGTTTTCCGCCATCCATTTCATATTTTTTAACATAATACTCTGATTTTACCATTAGTGATTTTTCTGTGCTTTTCACTTATGCAGAATGGCTCCCTCTCCAAACAATAAACTAGCTAAGAATACATTTAAGCTGTTATCCTACGTAAAATGCTCATACTAACACTCATATAAAACCACATAATGAGACTCAATCCCAGAACGAATATGAGAAAAAATGCATCCTTCTGTTTTAAATGAAACTATTTTTCTCATTCACAAAACGTCAAGAGTTTTACTTGGTATGTAATGTCAAAGGCAAAGAGAAAAAAAATTAGGAAAAAAGCCTCACTTGTGAAATATGGTTGATTGAAGATTCCATGCGTCGAAGTTGGGATGCCTGGATATCCAGCATTTGGAGAACATTGTTGGCCAAAGTGTTGATCAGATAGGCTACGCTTGCTAATGACTGGGTTGTGTAAGCTTTGGTTTCTTCCAGGGCTCGCTGCTTATCTGCTGACTAAAAACAGAAAGAAAAGGTTTATTTAGTATAAAGTCTCTCATGCAAAGGTTCTTGGAGTGAACTCCTTTTGCCTGTTGTTACAGACAAAAAAACTACATAAGCCGAACTAATTCTAAATAAAAGTTACTATTTTTCCTCCTTTCTATTCATTCCACAAAAGATACTAACTTTGTATTTTAAGAGTTTCTATGCTTTATGAAAAGAATTAAGCTCATTTTCTCTTGAAGTCCAACTTTTCTTTTTGAATTTTAGCAATTAACTTGAAAAGCACTCTGAGACACTTATCAGTTATTTCTCCTAGACTTTAAACTATTTAGAACTGTTTAGTTTTTCTAAACTTGGTATTTCAATTAGAAGTACCTACCAGCCTGAAAGGATCTACCAAATACCATATTCCTCACCTCTCCCAATTATTTAGACCTCATTCTTGTCACAAATGGTCTTTCACAGTGAAAGAACAGTAATTATTCCCTGTAGATGGCAGCTGAATAAATTGAGACCAATCATTTTTTTAAATTAAGAAGTCCATGTATTTTTTTAAACATGTTTTGTGCTTTTTCTAGTATGATCCATTTTTCTAGCAGTAGAGCACCTAAAAGTATTTATGCTATCAATCCGCAAGATATCTATTAGAAGTTTAAAAACATACGTACATTTCAAACAACATTAAAAATAATAAGAATCTAATTGTTAGATTTCTGTGTTTCTCCTTGAATAACAGTTAATATCACTAAGATCTAAGTCAGTACAAAGAATACAGATGAGAGCACTAGCAAAACATACAACTAAGATGCCGAGAAACTTTCCAGTATCCGAGGCTTTGGTATACGCTGGATTTCACTCTTAGGTGATCTTCAGCCACTTCACAGGCTGATGGTTTTGTTTCTAAAGCAACAGTTGACAAATGTTCTCTATTCCTATCTACCATTATAATACTGTATTTCATTATTTCCTTGGCTTTATATATTATCCACATAGGTTGGGTATCAAGATTCAAGAAAGAAAAGGGAATATAAAATTATTTCATATGTTTCAGCACAAGCTGAATCTACCATCGATTTTTATTATATGTACCTTGGGAAACACAGAAACTAAGTGCATCTGTATTTCAGGAAAATAATTCTTACAGTCAAAGATATTTCCTGAGACCTTGTAATAAGACCCTTATAAGAAGATTGCTAGTTTTCAAGAAAAAAAAAAAAACAATTCCACACATGTAAAAACAGGCACAGGACTTCAATTAAATGTTCACATGAAAGATATTCAATACTTTTTCTTTCCTGGTAACCTCCTGTGTCCACAAACAACAATGGTAACTTAGTTGGCCTGGTACAGGCTACACTGGTACCAGTTCCTCATCTGCCAGGAAGGAGGATAGCAGCAGTTGCTGTTTATCCATGTAAGAGTTCCCACGATAAGGCAAGAGGGAAGGAATGCTGTTGAAGGTAAATATTCTTGCCTGGCTGTTTGTTTCTCATGCAGCAGAAGATAGAAAACAACAGAGAAGGAAATGAAAATTTTAGGAGACAGCTTTATCTGAGCACAGTATGATGATATTCTCCAACAGAGCACACTTGTAAAACTGCCTTATATTCAGCTATACCGAAGTTAGATAAATGCTATCTCCAGATCCCATTTAAGAACTCATGACTTCTAGCCATCTGAATAGTATGTTTTGTACATAAAAGAGCTCCAAATTCAGAGACTCCCAAATGAAGGAAGAGAGAGTTCTTTACCTCTACTCTCACACTGATGGCTTATAAACGTACTCTTTCTTCCCCTCTCCCTACCCACACCCTCAGCTCAGCCTGCACATCTCTGCAGCAGGCACACCTACCACCTCACACTTCACAGCCATTCAAAACATTTCTCAATGGCAATAAGAAAAATAACCAGAAGCTCCTCAGTTTTGCTCTGCAGCTGCTGACAATCTATTTATAGAAGCAGAAACTGCTGATTTCCATTAGCATACTGTACATCCAGAACAGCTGAGTATAAGCCAGGATACACCATATTTTTCATTAATAGCCAAAGTGTTTGAGAACAAAAGGTAAACAGCCTATAATTTTAGATATTATGAACCTCTGATATGGCTTTTCTGCTTAAAGAAGCACAAATATGAATATATGTTCAGAGCTAGTCCTTCCACTGATGCAATCTAACAGCTAAACTGAAGTCACCCCCAGTTCAAACCAACAAGGAACTGGCTTCTCAATGTTCAAACACATTACAGATTTCATAAAACAACAATCCTATAAACTCATGTGGAACTGCTATGAGCACAAACTCCTGTTTGATTGAGAGGTCCAGTTTGTGTATTTGGCTGATAACAACTGTGATTTGCTCTCCATTTCTTTATATAGAGCCCAAAACTCTCTGAGACAAACTCAGTCACGTTTGGCACAGCAAAACTGAAGTTTGAACTTTCTTCCTGTATACTGAAAGACAAAGAATGTGTTGAAATTTCATATTAAAATGACTATTTGAATCTACTACTGTCAAGCCATTTCACAACAACAAAAATTAGTTAATTACAGCATTTTAAAACAATTATGTTTACTCTGAAAACCTTGAACAGGTGAAAACTTGAATGACTCACAGCAACTAGAAAAAAGTCTGGAATACTTACAGAAAAATCTGAAGTTCCCCCATGGAGATGTAACAATAAATATTAGTTAAAATTTAAGTTGAAATGCTAAGTTGTGTTTAGTGTAAAATCTGTCTTTTAATTTGAAAAGCAGATTTCCAGAGATAGTATCTTATCATGTGCTGCTATGTAACAAGATCCCATTTACATTCCCCACAGACACCAAACTATATTGCTTACAACCACTGCCGTGCTCACTGATCCTGAATATGTAAGTTTGAAAATAAAGGCATTTCTGCAAATAAGATAATGGTTTCAAGTGATCAATAAACAAAATTCAAACATAACCCGCAGCAGTCTAAGATCTGATACTCTGATCTTCATAACATCAAAATACCAGCCAATATGCTTCATAAGTAACTGCAAGGTAGACAAAGTTATTTCAATTTCCACACCCACCAAAATTCTCCAGTGAAAACTGTCCAATATCAATTGGCCCTACTCAAACTGGTAAGACTCTCCACAGTAGTTTCAGTAATCTACGTGTGGAATACTGAAAACAAGAGAAATGTGTTCTGGCCACGTTCACTGTAACAAAAAGAAGAGCTGCTACTGTGAATAAGTAAGGGTATGAACTACAGACCTTGAAGCCCTTCAGTTCTCAGAAACATTGTGTTCAGCAAGACCAAGCACTAGTAGAAGCGTTCTCAGTGCCGTGACCTAAATTAAATGCCATGAAACAGAGCACTGAGTATCCCTCCATTTTACTTTTTCAGCATCTTTAGCACCTGCACACATAAAATGCCTACTAAAAAAATGGGCTCACAATACCTATTCACACACCACTCTCAGGGAAGCAATGCTTTCAAGTGTTAGATCAGTTTGATCTGTACTTTTTAAATGGATATTAAATTTAAGAAAGCAAAGCTATTGTTTGACAAACAACTCTTCTGCAACACTGCCAACACAGACATCATCTCATTCCTAGACCTAATGTATCCATCCACTGTGACAGTACTGTATTTGTAGGGCTGCATGGTGGATTGAGTGTGTAATCTACTTCATAAATAACTTCAGAAACAAATGGTTATTTTAAACTCCAGTCAATTCCATTATCTTTCCTGCCATGCAAACTTGCAAATGCTTGCTCTAGTAAAACTAAGTAGATGCCACAAAGGAAGAGCAAATCACCTTACTGAATTATGGTTTGAGCAATTAATCATGATATAATGGAGGTTCAGGTTCTACTTTAAGTATCAGTACCTGTCAAAGTAGAGGTCCCCAATGCCAACTGCATGCTCCCTTCGCTGTAGTGAATTAAGACCAGGAGGCAAGTCCCAAAAGAAAATTATCTGAGTAAACTAGATAAATAATAAACCAAATAAACCACATTATAAGTTTCCCCTCATCCAAACCACTGCACAGCCACAGAAACACAAGGAAGTATACAATCAAGAATAAAGAGGGAAGAACTAATCAGAGTTGTTTGACTTGTTAGAAAACGAACAAGTGTTGGAAAGCAGACATCACTGCAATTTTGCCAGCCTTCCACTACCTAAAATTTTTTTTCACCAGGACTATACACAGTGCCTCATTATGTTCCCCTTAATATTTTTCCATTAACTGTTTCATCTCCACCTCTTATACTTGCAGCTTTGACTTCTCAGTGTTAACATACTTGAGTATCACAGTTGGATCATCTTCAATGCCTTAAAAAGAAATGTTCTTATCATGCCTTCTGTGCCCAGGTTACAGAATTTCCATGCAGCAGCTTAGCATTTATTCTGTTTATCGTTTTTCTCCACACAATGCAAACATCAAGTGGTCCATGCTGAGTCACAAGGCAGCATCCTTTTCTCCTGCTCTCAGCAGTAAGAGCACCATTTTAACTCACCACAGAGAGCTCATCTGATGCTCCTGCCAGCCCCATATGGAGTGAGGATGGTGTCAGCTACTACTGGGACATGCTACCTCTGCTGCAGCAGGAAGTGGTACCCCATGCACCCAGACACAGCAGCAGCCACTGCTCTCCCCTGCTCTCCCATGGAGAGTGTTATCTATTTGTGGAACCACCCAGTACTGAAACAGTTGGTTTGCCTCCACCAGAAAACAAAACAAATGATTAATTAGATGGAAATATTTCACAGGATAAATCCAGTCTGAGAGCTACAGCATACAGTTTAGCTACAGCTAGAGTGACTACTCTATACAAAGCTGGAGCTTTTAGATAACAGGAGAAGATCAAAGTTATTCAAGTCAGCTACAAATGCACAGATTTCACATTCAGTCAGAAAAGGCATGTGTTACATTCACAGG